AATACTCAATTTTTTTAACTGCTTGTACAGCATTAATATTTTGGTTGCAGTTTAAAATATTTACATTGTTAGTTATCTACAAAAATTACTTAACTTCTGCACTCTTTGGTATCGTTTTAACCGTTTTGATGATTTGTCCTTTTTTATCTGTCGTAGTATTTTCTCGTCAACTAACTATATACTTCGTGATTCGGCGGTTTCTTATCTTGTGTATTTTAATACAAATTTAAGTTGTTTCCAAGTCAGCGTGTTTACCTCTCTACTAGCTAACAGGAGAAATCGATGGCTTGATTGTGGCTCCTTTGACAAAACATGTTATTACACAAAGCAAGTGTTTTAGTATGAGGGTTTGGACCATGGAGAAAAATGGTTAAATGTAAATTGACAATTTTGTCTTATACAGAAACCTACTTTAAACACAATAGTACCTGTCAAATAGTCACAGAAAATTGTAGGTATATTTGTCAAAAGGTAAAGTAAAAGGCTTACTGCAATATTATTAGAAATAGATTGACGGCAACGCGACGCCCTAAAAATATCACTCGAACAATGCTGCCGATGTTCATTATAAATTTAAAATCCAAGCTACTATAATTGGAGCAGAAAAAGAAAAAAATATTTAGAGTCGCAAGAATGTCAACCCCGGTAATTCAATTTTGATTATAGTACCAAAGACTAAATATGGCTTCATTAGTTGCCGCGACCATCCGCGTACAATCTTCTAGAGTGGGTATCATTAGCTACCTACGAAATTTTGGTTACGACGAAATAAAATTACCGTCTTAATATGAAATTACTCACTTCGTGATTTCGGTTGTTTTGTTTGATACTAAATTATTTCTTTGTAATGAATACATCGACATTGATCGTTTTGAAAGAGTCGCTTACATCCGGGTAAGAATTTTAAAAAGATTGGAAGTTTTGCCTAAATTGGAGGACGAACATTGTTTACACTTCTGTGACATACTAAAACTGTGGAACATTTGGGCAATAAGTTTCACTTCATCAGATTACTTGTTAAATTAATAAATATCACAAGTGACTTAACAGGGTTAAGAATGAATTACACGTGTTAAAATTTAACGGTCTGGCGCTAAGTTTCTCCAGTTTATTTTAATTTCATAAAATGAAACAACAACAAAACTATAAAAAGGAAGAATAAACATCAAAACATATTTTATATACCAAAACAACTTCGCATCGGCATTTAAACTTTGAGTCGTAAAAACTTTTTGATACAATATCTTAATAATTTTAAGGATGCAACTGGGAAATAAAGTCGAATAACTTTATAATCATGAAGCGTACCCATTTCCACGCCGTCAGATCGCAGAACGTTTGCGTTAGATAATGACACTTAAGTTAAAGCTAAGTTAGGTATATGTTAAATACGTAAGTGGTGGGACATGACGGCCCTGGGCGCATCGCAGCCCGGCTTCCGTGGGAACGCAACACTTGACGTTACCAAATCACCCACGGCGAAAATTGATTGACACCACGAATACATATTAATGCAGACATAGACTAATACCTCTACACGGAGGGATCGGAGCACAATAGCGAGGCGTGTTAAAGTCCTCTGGAAGTCTATATTGCTGTAAAAATCTCCATTGTTTTATTTACAATAATAATTACATATAAAATAAATAGAATACAACCTCATTTCTAATGTTTATATTTCATTGCTGAGCTTTAAGTTAAGTTGGAAAAATAATAATAAAAATAGCAAAAATTTAAAAAATGATTCAGTTTACTTTACTTTTAATTTTTATACAATACATTTTCCCGAATTTGGGACAATTTTTTATAACACTGGTAAACATTTGCGTAACGCACGCTAATGACATTTGGAAAACATTTTTTTTATCTTCAGAACTTTTTTAAAATGTGTACATATAAGACAACTACGGTATGTATATAAAACTGATTTACACGAATAAAAAGTGAATTGAAACTATTTGTTCTTTCTTGTATCAACGATTAACTTATTCTTTCAAGGAAAATTAAATGGTACGCAATACAAATTAAAACAAAGATGCTCAAGAGTTGCTTTTAAATAGTAAATGACACGTTTAATTCTAGTCAACAAAGAATCATGTTTGCATTCTCACAGGAAGGAGTTAAGTTAATTGAAAGTTGCGGCAACTTAATAATTTCACGAATTATACATTCAGTTATTCAAGTGAGATCGACGTTCAAAATGATTATATGTCGTTCGAGGTACGCTTCAGTGCATTTGAAATCGTCCTTTCACGTTTCTTGAACAAACACAATGAGAGCATGTGTTCTAATTATATACAACTCCTGAATCTAATTCCTCAAATTAAACGAATACGGGCAAGTGTTTGCGGCGAAGTCAGATCCAACGTACGCTTTGTTTGACTGTCCTATAGAGCTTTAATTGACTGGAATAATTTCTACAAACGTCTTAGAACAATTTTTATTAATTAAAGCCGTGTTATACGGGAGAAATGCGGACATAAAAGGTGTTTGTCTCAACCTCAAAGTAATGGTAACTTCTGCAGACACGATTTTTATAAATGATTATTTTTTATATCATAAGGTGGCAAACGAGCGACCGGCCACATGAAATCGCTGAAATAGCGAAGTAACCGTTGCCCATGACATACGCAATTGCATATGCGTTGCCTACCTTTAATCGACGGAGGGGAGGATGCACAGAAAGAAAATATTTTCCCTTCCCATGCATCCTCTCACCCGGAAAGTCCACTTCCACTTCCCATCCTTTCCTTGTAGGAAAAAGGGTGGGAAGGGAAAGAGGACTAAATTAAAAAAAATTCGTGCGAAGATGTTAAAGCGGGCTCTACCACTGTTGATTTAATTAATTGACAAAAAATTCAAACCTTCGTAGTTTGTTAAACTGTGTACGTTGTTAGTAATTTACTAGAAGTGATAAACCAATCTCTGCAGTATCGACGTTAATGTGAGAGCAATTAATGGTAATAAAATAATTAGGTTAATTAATGACCAACATTTGATTTAAGATAGTACAGCGGCGCGGCTCGCGTGTCGAGCCTATTACAGCAAATACCAGTCGTACTTTGTAGAAGTGCTTCTTTTTTTTCTTACAAACACTGTTTTTGCTAGGAAGTCCTTTCTGTGTAAAAAGTACAAAACTCTTCACTTTATAAAATTGTATGCTTGAATTTTACTTCATAAAAAATATGCAAGTAATTAAATAAAATAGAAATTTCTTAGATCAAAATTGGTCACATTGATCAGTATTTTTTTTTTGGTTTTATAGAATATATACGTTAATAGCTACAAACCTTAAATGGGATCAAAATCCAAGACTGACCCCAGATGTGATTCTGTTCAGGATTATAACTTATACTAAACCAAATAATGTCCAGTGTGTTGCAAATTTCGATAACTGTGTCTTTGAATTGTACACAAATAAAAAGGAGTACAGGAAAACGGTAACAATAACCTATGGCAAAAACGTGAGGAATCTCACCGGACATCGACAGACAAATAAAGATTGCTATCAGAACGCAACTGCAATAATAACAAAGGATGCGGTCAAACAAACGATTACGGACGAGGCATCATCGATGTTCTGATAGGATTGACGCAGAGCTCGCGGCGGCTCCGCAGCCCAGTGGCTTATAATTAACACGCTGCGAGTTTTATGTATCGATTAGGATCTAAGCTTTCGTCAATAGGGGGCTCTCGCAGCGGCCACGCTGATGGCTTATCGTTGATTAATAGCGATTGAGATTTTTGCCGCGTCTCTATATAATTAGAACGGAGTTAAATGCAGCATCGGGCCACGGCGCTTTCGACAAATCACCGGATGGTCACTGAATGCTGACAATCCGAGGTATCGATTATAATTTGCTTCTAATAATCGGTTATTTTTATCCGTGAGTAGATTCTCGGAGCCTGGATTTGTTTTGTTTCTATAAATTCCGGATTACAAAAGCTTGCGTTAATATTTTTATAACAACAAATTAGTCGCAATGACAATGTTCTGATCTTATATTATGAAGATATCATGGCGTTTCGATAAACGACATTCTTTAAACAAGTACGAAATTTCTGAATTAAAAAAAAATCTTCAACAACTTTACAAAGGTTAAACTCCTGTTATGTGATAAAATAATATACAATTTCATAGTTGAAAAATGGAAATCAACAAATACGTTGGGTTATTTTTGTACGGCATTATATTTGTAAGTGTTCGTTTTGTTTTATCTCCAGTATTTAAACGCCTGCTCACATTTTGGAGCCCCTTATCAATTTAAATTGACTTGACAAGCGCTCGTGTCACTCAAGCGATGACTAAAGAGTATGCTACTGGAAAGTGTATATTATCATTGGATCACATCGCTTCTTGTTCAAGTTCACTGAGACATGATTGTAGCCTAAACGAAGATAACGTACATCTAAAATAAAGCTAATATTTTCAACATCTTTGGCCTCGACAGGTATAAAATGGTTCCTAAAATGATTATAATATATTCCAAGCAGTAATTATTGGAAATAACTTTGCACCTTGTAACAATGCATCGACAAGCAACACATTAAAGATCATTCGTATGAATCAATATAACGCTGAACGTAGCCCGGAGTATTTTGCTGAAATGAAATATGAGTTAATTGCGGTGCAACCGATACCCAGTAGGCAGAAGGTCGATTTATCAATTAATATATGCAGTCAGGCATTGCAAGTTCTCTAACTCATAATTTTAATATTATTTATAAAATGAATGTAATTGTAATTCGTTTTAGAGAATTTGGATGCATTTTTTAATAACAATTGCCAAATTTTTGTCATGATTTATTTTTACAAGTGCATTTAACGGCGTAAAGTTTACGGATTTAGGGAGCATATTTCAGCTAGTAACATAAAGATAAAGTTTTTTAAAATGTCGATGACGCTGACACGCATATTAGTGATTAGGTTTACAAGCTAATGTTTAAGCCATGGCACTAGCCACCTTGGTGTCAACTCTTACCGAGTAATTTGGTTACAGCACCTTGCTGGGACAGCACGTGATGCGCGATGTCGTAGTGGCGCAGACCGAAGCGGGACAGCTCCAGCAGCCTCTGCTGTGACAGCAGCGAGGAGAGCGGGTGCGACGCCGCGCCGGGATACAGAGGCGTACCCGCCCCACCGCTTGCCCCGCCGCCAGCCCCGCCACCCGAAGACGATGGGGACACCGGCACTGAAACAATTTATCTATGTATTTTGTTTCTTGATTGATCATATTAATTTTGCATAATATTTAGCTGTGAATTTTCATTGCCGAAGCAACTGTTAAAATATTTTTAGAGGTATTGCATTACTACTTTGTTCAAACATGCACTATTTCATGTCTCTAGATTGTGCTACGAACAAGTCTCGGCGCCACAAAACATCCTGTCTCGTCACTTAATTACGCAAAACGCAACTCGATCGCATTTTCTTATCGAGGATGGATGTTCATATCTATGAACCACAAGCATCACATGTCAATTGATTTAAGTAAGCTTGTTTGTTATTTGTTAACAACTTACTTACACAGTACATCTGAAGACGTTAAAAATATTTAATACAAGTAATACAAACTTTAAGAACCAGATATGCAAAAATGTTACATTCCAAAAGATTTGGTAACATCGGATATGATTGTCTTACTGTGTCCCGTTTGAAAAATTCGGCGGTCACTTAACACTTAATTAACTGAAGCCTTAAAGTGAGAAAACCTTATCGTTTGTACTTTGTATCGGTGACTTAAAATACTTTATCAAGTGTGAATTGAAAGTAAAAATAAAAGTACCTAATTAATTGTTTTCAGTTTATATGTTACTAACATTAATATTTTTCAAAGCCAAAGGTAATGTTTTTATCAATAACATTTATAGATATTAGTAGAATGTAATTAAGAAATGTTAAAATAATATTGACTCGACTATGCAAATAATTGAAGCGCACTACGTAGATAGCTAGTAAACTAATGAGATTAGCCGCGAATTACTCTTGTCAAAGTGCATTAAATAAATAGGATATTTCAGTGGGTTTACCTTAATTAAGATGTAATGCTGACATTTAAATGCTGCTTAATGCTTTGCACATTGTGTATAGTTCGTATTCATTATTTAGTACTATTAAATTTTATTATTAATATATGATATATTGCGGAAAAATATTGAACTAATTTCTTTTTAGAAAGTAACATAATGAAGAAGGCGACTGATGCGCCCTCAAAGGACAGAAATGTTATATAGGCTAGGCTATAGGTTAAGCGTTTACAATATGTTTTGCAGTTGTTTCCCCAGTGGAAACTCACAAAGAAGCGATCATTTAATACAAACGCTCCCAATCAAGCACTATGTTTAATTACACTCCCATTAAGATAATACGGGTGTAAGATTTTTTTTATTTCGTCCCGGTTGACGATAAAATCCCTTGCACGTAAGAATATTGATATATCAGAAAATAATAAAACTTAAACTTAAAATGTTTTCTTGATTTTATAATTTTTATTTACTAAATATAAATTCTTTAAATTGCAACAGTTATAGTGCTTTTTCCCATTTTTTGTCCAAGTTTTTTTTAATTTTTACGTAAATTTACTTAAACGCAAAACTTCTTTTATTTCAACTGCGATTGAAATGTCATAAAAAATTGTAGTAGCGCTAAAATGTGTCATTTTCTTGATAATTTCTAACATTTCTTTGAACAAATGCCTCCAGGGCCGCATTACGTTTCAAATTATTGTACGATATCTCTGTCATTTCTTCTACAATTATTTATACTTATCGTAAGTTTATTATATCGTCACATAGTAGTAAAAGATTTAAAAATTAACATCGTGGGAAATTTCACATGGTGAAATCACCGACAATGATAGCATTCTGCACGCTTACCCCATAATATCAGTATTATTTCCTCGATCCCAAATTGATACTGAAAACTTGCAACATAACCTATTAAATTTTTATAACACCACTCGGAAAAGCAATTCTGTAAATCCATGAATAAGATTATATTAATAAAATTTTATACGCAACCCGCTCCGTTAAGATGTTACAAAGACGACATTAAAACGTCCCCGACTTTTAAGGTGTCGCATTTTTAATGCATATAGCATTATCTTCGTCCCGGCAATTTGTCCTTAACTGCGGACCCTTACCTTAAAGGCGATCGTAACAATGCCTTCTTACGAATACGTCGTAACACTTTCAATTATAAATTAAGCTATTAACTTAATGTACAATAATTTGTTTATCAGGTTAAGCATCGAAATTAATGCAAGTGGCATAACTCGTTCATAACTTAACACTTTTTATTAGCGAGTCCGTACGGCAGTTTTGTCAAGTAAGGCATTATCCAAGTTTTCACTTCCGTACAAACGAATGTAGACTTAAAAACGTGGTCGTAAAATATAGATTCCATTGAATTTTAACGACCGATCGAGCGGTCTGGAGTGGTCTTGAACGTATAATTTCTTGTGTAATCGCTTTAATAATGGGTGAAAAAAGTTATATTATCTGCCCACGGTCAATAAATTAACACCGTTTAGAGCAAAAATGTAGATCCTTAGTGTCGCTACTATTATAAATAAAGAGAGCTGGAACGAGCCGAGGCGAGGTCTGAGTCGGCCCGCGGTGCCGGGGCCGAGTGCGTGTGTTTTTATTTGGGTGCGTGAGTAGCGAGGCCTTATTAAAATATTTCGAGTGGAAACTGGAAGGACCACTTAGTGGTGCGCGGGAGTTTCACGCCTGAGCTGATACAACATTAAGTCGACAAGATAGCTTATTTGTGCTGAGCTGAGGATTAGGGGCAATAAATCACTGATTAGAATGTATTGACTGGCGTCGACTCCGGCGCACGATCTTCTCTCTTATTTATATACCGCTAGCTTTTAGGCTTTTATGACTTCATTATTTTACGTCGAACACTTCGACTAGTAATGATTTTATTTACATAATTAACACGAGATGCAAATCGGCCTACGTTTTACGAGTTGCCAGCGTAGCCTTAATTAATTATGGATTATGATCTTTAAAGGGTAAGTTTTAATTAAAGATAATGAAATTTATTTATTCGACGGAATACAGTCGAGAGATTAAGGTTTTTAAAATGGTAAACAAAATTAAAATAAGAGTAAACTCCGCATCTGAGGCAAAAATAAAAAAGACATCGCCGTGTCTTGACTTCTTTAATGCAAAGTCGATTCTTATTTCACCTGTACAGGGACACTGGGCACTGAGTGGATATCGGGAGATGCAACATGGGTACACAAACGTCCGAATTCAAAGCAGTTTAATTTGAAAATAAAAAGTATTTTAGCGCAAGTTTTACCGCTGTTTATTTCAGCATGGAGCGTAAAATTACCTTCTTTTGTGCTAATATTAATTTGGTATCGACGCAGCAATCTCACACAATCGTTGCCAATATTATGACTAATTCCATTCCATTGTATAAAATTCATAAGCATTATGCAAATAAACTTGTTTTATGATTCCTGATATGTAATTTAAGAAATGCGAAATTAAATATACCGTGAAATGCTTCAATTCTAGATGTTAATCGACTTTGTCTCACTTTTTTTTTGTTTTGCCTTTTTGAATTTTAATTTTCTGATATGATGTTTCTGTGTTGTATGATTTGCATTACGATGATTACTTGAATCAAGTCTTTTTGTTCATTACTTCATTGCATTTTTATGGACTTTAATAGTATTTTTTCTTATAAATCTTAATATTAATATTTTGGACGTGTTAAAATTTTATAAACATGAACATATATTTCGCTTGGCACAAGACCGACGAAAGATCTGTGAGCTGACGTCCAGTCTCCATTAAGTGGAGAGGCACCTAAAGAAAGAAAAGGAAAGAGAGGGGGATAGAGAAAATTTTATAGTTTCGTACGATATTGCTGGTTTCTGCTGGTTTCTGATGGGTAAAAGTAGCAGTTGCCGTGTAACCTTGAGACGCGAGGATGTCTTCAGAGTAATTTGATTATTCTACGGCGCCTGTTAACTAGAGCACAACCATGTTTACATGCTACAACTCGATGGTACTATTTAAAAACAAAAGTAGTAATACGGAATGAATGATTTCAAACATTTTGGTTACGGAATTATCGAGTAATTGTGCGAAAAATAAAATCAAATATATCCTATTGGAGATGTCCATTTTCCAAACTGTAATTTATCTCTGTTCTAAATTCAATACAGATATGGTTAGCCGTTTTGGAGTTACGTGGCAACAAGCATTCATAATTTGTACATTCATAACTTTCCGTCTCCATACAATATTGCCTCCTGCCTTCATAAAAAAAAACTAAGCAGTACAACAAGTAAATAATGTATTTAATTGTCGTATTATTGACATAGACTGTAGTTAAAATCAATTTTATACTCACAATAAAATGCAAGCAAACTGTGAAGCCATTACATGACATTTCCCTTTTATGTGATGCCTTAAAGAGATTATAATACAGCTTATACAGAACGCATTGTAAATTTTATCTTTATAAGCGCTTATGATTATTGACTACTTAACCTCAATTCTACATTTGTTTATATTAAGAATGAAATAATTTCAAATGGTAAACATAACCAGAACTTATTAAGTGTTTATTATTATAGAGATTGGTACAAGAGCTTATTGACATGTTTTTTTACTCAATAATTTGATTATTTTCAAGTCCGCGCCATTTTGTATCGTAAAATTTCACAAATATATGTCTCAATAAACGAACAGTGCAAATTCTCAATTGCTTAATATTGTATAAAATTCGAAAACCATCGCTTCATAAAAGATTTTTAAATACGATATTCTTTTATAATTCCGTTATTTTTTCGTATACGCGTTAAATAACCTATTATTTTAACTGAAAACGATACCCATTCAAGATATATTTTTTAAGTGAATAAAATATTTATTCATCATAATAAAAATACATTTCTGGTGAAAGTGTATTTTAACATCGTTTTAACTTATACGTTGTTGTTTGTTTACATATTCTGTTACTAGTAACCTGAGCCTGAGGTCTTAGTGATTTTAAGGATTTACATTCACTGTACTAGGTTCAAAACAGAC